GCTAGAGCTTCGGTGGGCAACAGCTCCGCCGCTCGAGAGAAATACTAGCGCCAAGTGGATACCAGCTCTCTATTCTGTTTTTTTACCCCAGATGCGCAAGCGCCAAAGCTAACAACTAGCTAGTGAAATTGCAGCGACTTTTTCTCCACCAAAACTCCAAAACCAAGTCTTTAATTATCCAAAATTCTTTTACCTATCAAACTTTCAATCCTTAATGAACTTTGATCCATTTTTCAACCGGACTTCCAAATCAAGAAGTTTGTTGTTCCTTTTATCAATTTCTCAATCAAATCCTAATCTCAATAAGAATTTGGGTCATAATTTAACATAAACAATGAAATAAAATAGAACCAACATTGTGTAGCTAGGAAGTAGTAGACTGGAACAAATACTTCATTTACCTTGTATATGACTTTTGTGAGTATTTTATTTAATTGAAGTGGGTTTGGTTTAATTTGGCCGTGGGGTGAGGGTGGGGTGGATAAGAAGATGGAGTATTTTATTTTATTTGCTTATTTTATAAAAATATAAAGTTATCGTTGTCCTTTTTAAAATTGGTTAAAATGTGATTCAACTCAACTGATTTTTCTTGATCAATTAATGGTTTTTTGGACGAAATCGCCGTACACTTTTTAAAGGTTTTAAACAAGTCATACTACAAATGAAAGGTGGGTAAAAGCTGCAATAACTAGTTAAATTTGAAACCTAGGCTACAATTATCCTTTAAAACTAATTGTCACTTTTATCGTCCAGTCCAAAATAGATAACATGAAAATGAATAGTGGCGGATGCGAAGATTTTGAATTTAGGGGCACAATCAAACTTTCACAAAATGGGGTATGACTTTTTCGGATGTAAAATTCTAAAAAAGAAAATTGATATTGTATTGTACCCCATGTAAAATTTCCTAACAAAATGATGTGAATTTATCGTGCAAAAATAATCAATGTTAATGAAATAATTGAAAAGTGTCAAAGAAAAGATGAGTCAGACGACTCATTTTTAGATGTCCGTTTTACGCACATGTAACTATTTTCGATGTTTATTTGGATCATTTGATATCATGGTATAGTTCTTGACATGAGCTTCGAGATGATGTCGGAGATTTGCAGATTTGGTTAGCGCACGATCGTTGAATTTTTTTTAAATTAGCAAGTTATTGAAATTTTCAAAATACTTGTTTGAAACGGCCTATTTTAACGAGCCGGCATTTGCTACAATTGACCGTTTCGCGTGCTATTAACAACGTAGAAAATTAGATTGTGAGCACTTTGAAATAGTATTAAAAATACAATATTTCGATTTCGTTTGACATCCCGTGATGACTCCTAAAATTGAGATAAAAACAAAGAAAAATTTAAAACAAATGCCCAAAAATTGGCGGGTTCGGATCCATGTGACCCCAGGCCACCTCTCGTGTCTCTCCCTCAAAATGAAGTAGAGTATTTGCACAACTGCAAAAAAATGTTCCCTTTGTGTTTCAATTTTATGTTTTGAGTTTTGAATTCATTTTGTATTTTGTGTTTTGAGTGTCTATTTTGAAATTTCTGAAAATACGTACTTTTTATCATTCTGAAAAACTGTTTCCGAAAACATAAATATGAAAAACGCGTTTATTTTGAAATTTTGAGATTTTTTTAATAATATTTTATTCAAAAAAATCTGATTATTCAATAAATTTTAATGTTTTAACGATTAGAAATTTACGTGTCATGACAATATAATCAGATAATGAACAACATACAAAATAAATCCACGGAGTCATGTGCCTTTTGTTTTATTTTAGTTTTAAATTTTACAATATTTCAAGTTGAAATAAATTAAGTCCATGTTTGATGGTCATTATTTGAAAACTTTTTTTTCTATATACTTATTTTAAATTACATTAGCAATAAAATATTTTACATGTAAACTCGAAGTTTTTCTTCATCTCTCAACCACATATTCTCCAAAAACTCATTATTCAAAACATTTTTTTTTTCAAAATAATGGGGCTAATTAAATAAAAGTTATTATTCTTAACAATAAGTAAACACGTCCGTGCCTTGAAAATTCACGTGAAACTTAGAATTTTTTTCCTATATACAAGACCGGAAAATTTTCATGTAAAATTTTGTTCTCACTTCACAAGGTAATTTTTTTCACAATGACTCGGAATAAATTGACAAGCTAACCTCTAGCTGCAGTACAGATGCATCTAGATTTTATTCAACATCAGCTAAAACAACTACAACCTCAAGTAGCCAGAAAGGAAAAAACATATGACTTCACTAAAACTGCATTCTTTTAACATCTTTCTGAGCCTCAAGCTTTAACAGAAGCCTCGTGGCGGATCAAATCAATAACTCAATGACTGTAACGAAAAACAACATTGATGTCACTAAAACTATATGAGCAGTTAAAGATCAAGAAATTTCAAGACTGGTGCAAGTTTAGATGAATTGACTAAAAAGTAAAAATCAGCAAATTGATTAGGAAGGGAAATATAGACGAATTTCTCAGTTTCTGTCCAACCATGGCATTAAACACAGAGTTTCATCTCCCAAAACTCCCGAGCAAAGTGGAAGGCTTGCGAGGAAAATAGACATATTGTAGAAGTAGGGTTGACCCTAATAGCACACTTGGTCTCTCTCTATTTCTGGCATGATGCCTTCCAACAGCTATGTAATCGATAAGTTATACTGTGTAACACTAAATTTCACACCACTACCATTTTGAAGTATTTTACAAAGAATTACCTACCAATATCTCACTTAGAGATTTTTGTGTTCATGCTAACCTTTCCCACGCCAGTACCATGATCATAAACTACAATTTAATTATGTTGAGAGTTGAGTGGGTACATCCTGAGTTTAGTTCAACAAAAATATAGATTCTATGTGTGTCTTGCCATGTCATTTTTATTGAAAAGACCCTTCTCTTCACAACAGAATCCTTATTTGTTCAACATATATCCACAATTAATTGATTCATGATCAGAAATATTAATCCAACAAAGCGTTTGGACTAACCTGCTTTGCAGTAGGTGACCAAGTCCAAGAGCCCCGACAGTTAGTGAAATCATGGGAAGACCATATCGCATAAACGGTGGTTTCCAGCCCCACCTACTGAACTTTGAAGCCGAGTTTTGAAACTTGCATCATAATTCCAAAGCATCATTGCCAACAATAATGTTACTTGTTGTGAGATTACCTTGAGTTTCAGGCATAAATAGAAGTGTGAAGTTATGATGCCACCCTATATAGGTTCCAACACATTCAGTTCTAGTGATTAGACGAAGAATTTACATAATAAACCCACCCGAGTTAATGATCAAGTAGCAAACAATAACATAATGCCACCTGAGTAAAATTACAC